TTTAACTTAATATTTTTGAAAATCAATTATTATATTAAAAGTTTTATTAATTTAAATTTTATATATATCAATATTGAAATTAATCTAATAGGTTTAATTAGTTTATTGATTATATAAAATTTAACAATATTATAAATAATTAGTAAATAGAATTTTTTTAATTAAAAAATTATAAATATTATATTAATTTAAAAATAAATGTGTGGTCTACATATTAAAAAAACTTAAATCGATAGTTAATTTTTAAAAATATTAATTACAAATTGAGTTTTTAAAAATTTCTAAAAAAAATAGACTGATAATATGTATTATACTGACATGTTAAACTAATGCTTTTTATTTCATTTATGTCCGTGCATATGATAAAATTATTATAAAATATTAAAATTACAAAATTACCTATAATTCATCTTCTTCTCTTGGGCTTTCTGTTTTCCTTTCAAAGGTTTCCAACTCGATATCCAATGTGTGTTACATGGAAACTTTATTAGAAAATTTTTTTTTGAAAAAATAGTTAAAAAATTATCATGATCCAATTTTTATCAAGTATTTCTAATAAAATTCTCAAATTTAGTAAAAATATGGAAACGCAAAAAGTAATTGTCGCAATGTCCTGGATGGGGGCTTCCGCAAGGTGAATTGTACTCTATTGATTGCTTAAGAATTGATAAATTGTTTGGGGTCATCACTAATCTTTTATTAGGTGTAATTGATCACTTATTATATTATTTATTTAAAATAAATAAATTTTGGTTAAAGACTACGATTATGCATGGGAAAGGTGTTAACAATTTAGCAACCCCAGGACACCTATTGGATGAACAGTACTAGTTAGCAAAATGTTTTTTTATTAAGCTAAACTAAATGATTCATTAAATTTTTGTATGTGGACTACAATAAGCCCCCTCACCACTATGAGAGAACTTTATGACGAATGATATATTTACAAAGAAAAAAATTTTATTGTAATTTTCAATTAATAGCTTTTCATTTATCCATAAGAGACAATTATTGATATAATAACTCTTTAGTTATTTATTGAAGAATTACTTTTTAAATTTATTTTGTTTTTGTTTTTGTTTTTATTTTTATTTTGATAATAATGTTACTACTTTCCTTATCATTCTCTCCCATGAAATATCACTTATTTTATCCTTTATAAGTCTACGAATGGAATAAAAATGATGAAACTAAAATACAAAGGATGAAAGAACCTTTTATTTGTTTCAAGGACTTAGATGGGGCAATTGAAAAGTGGTGGACTAAAACCAAAGCGCCAATGATTCAGAAAGGTACGTAAAGGCCTGTTGTATTGTCTTGCCATTTTGTTCCAACATTTACCAAAGGGTGCTGTTCTTCTCACTTCAATGTTGAAATCCCCATGGCCTCGAATCCCCGGTCAATTGCAGCCTCTGTTCACCATTCTTAACCTCCTTTTTTCTCCCATGTCTCTGTAATGTTAGGGACAAGAATGGATGAGGGAGAGCAGCGGCTGAGTAATGAGTGGTTGGAAAAATGCATCTCGAGGGAAAGGAAGACAATGGAGGTTGAGCAATCATGGAAGTGAATTCCGATCTGATATGGGGTTGAAAGGAAGGGGATCTGAGAAGAAGAAACCGATCGAGGCAGCAGGAGAATGGCAGACCCGATCCCGGTACCCGATGGAAAGAGGGGCTGAGGAAGGGAATTTGGCAGCGATCCTTGACCGCATGTTTGGAGCGCCGAATGCAATGCAGGATAGGACAAAGTTTTTGTCTTGTCTTGTCTTGCTATTTCCCATGTTTGGTGGAAGGAAGAGATGGGACACGCAACATCCTACATTTTATCCAATCCTGACCTCTCTTGATAAAATGTATCCCACCTCCCCAATGGGATTAGGTGGGAGAAGATTGAATTTTCATATTTTACCCCTTCTTTTCCCCGCATTGATTTTCTCCTCTCATATACAAGATGCCTGCACATCGGCGCCGATTCCGGCATTGGTTTATTTCATCAATTCTGAAAATGCATTTTTCATCCTGTTGATCTCCTCCGTTCTCCTAAGCTTCGGCATCTATTTTATCTTCCAGCATGGATCTCTTTGTAAATCTCCTGTTTTCCCTTTCTTCTTCTTCCATCACTGATTTCTTTAGTCTCCGATCATCCCTTTCCTTTTCTTTTTCTCCTGAAATAAAGAAACTCATATTTATCCCACTCCTTTTTCTCACTCACAAGGCATTTGTATCTCAAATTTCAATTTCATTTGAATCGACACCGATGTCATTGTCTCCTCATATACATTCCAGTGAATCTAGAAATTATGTCTTTGTTTTCTCTTTTATCCATGTTGAGATTTGCTGGTTTGCTTCTCAAACAAAATAGTAGAGTTAGGAAGAAAACTCTAGCTTGCAGAGGGAAAGAAGAACCTGGCAAATGCTGGAGAGGTTGAGAAAATGGAAGAAAAATGTATTGAAGACGCTAGCAGCTGTTTGGAAGTGGAGAAAATGAAATTGAAAATTGCAAGAAAATTTTGAAGGATTTTAGTAAGTTTTTCCCTTTTTTAAGAAATAAACTGAATTAGAATAATAGGGGTATTTGTGTTAATAAATAAATATTTTAAGTCAGTCTTATATTTAATCTTATAAACTCCAAACATATGATTAGACTTTCAAATAATTCAATTTAAACCAATCCAATCCTGCTATTTAAATCCTATCTCATTCAATCCTAACCTATGCTCCGAACTGCCCTGAAGGAATTCTTGGGCTAGCGTCTACAGGTAAAATTTTATTCTTTCTTTTCTATATTCATTTTATTCTTTCATGTTTGATTTCCTTAACGTTGAAGATTTTATTTCCATTCTTTTTTTTTTATGGCCTGAAGGATGAAACGCTGAGGGTTGCTTAGTGAAGAATTTTTATTCCCTCTTTCCGTTTTTAGTTCAAAATTTGTGTAATTTTACTAATTTATGATGGGTTGGTAAAAAAAACGAAAATTTGAATGCATAGCTAAAGTAACCATGGAAGGAAAGCATTAGAAGGTTGTCATTAATGGTATGTCTGGATTGAGGAAAATAAAAGAAAGAAGAAAAGTTTTTTTTTTTTGGTTACTAAAATAACTAGAGGGAATGGGAGGAAAAAATATTTCTTTTATTTTATTTTTAAAATTTATTTATTTATTTAAAACCCTCATTTTCCTTTCCTTCTATTCTTTTCAACTCAAATATACAAGAAAAACAAGGATTAAAAGAAAATTTTTTCTCTCACATGTGAGCTAAATTGGCTTCAATAGATTATAGGAATACTCTAATCCCCTTTTACTGTTCATAAGGTAAAGCCATTTGTGAACAGACATGTTCAATAAATAGCTTTACATAATCATGGGAAAATTGAAAACTCTTCCAATACTTGTGGTTGAGTTCCAAAATTCTATTATAATCACATCAACAGTCTAAAACAGATATGTAGAATGTTTTAATGGGTAATTTCAAATTAGAATAGGAACAAGAAAATAAAGAAAAAGAATAATGAATTAACATTGAGGAAGAGTATAACTTGCTTAAAAGAGGACCAGTAATAAAGGTAGTTATTACTAATTTATATATTTTGAAAAAATTATAAATCTTTTTAAAAAAATATTACCCCTTACTATGTAATCTAACAAAAAAAAAAAAAAAAACCCTCTTCCAATACTCATGGTTAAGTTCGAATATTCCTTATAATTAAAGGAATCAACAAGGGCACAA